AGAGTATACTGCAGTATACTATGGAACACACTACAGGATGCTACAGCACAGCATATTCTACGATATTATTTCAATGTATTATAGTATTTTATATTATATAGTAAGAAGTATAGAAGAACAGGGACTGAAAAGAGGTCCCATGCACCCAGGCGGCTTCGACCGCAATCAGGCAGGGGTTGGACGAAGGCCTGGCAGCTACCGTTCTATAGTCCCTACTGCATACTATACTATGGTATACTACAGTATACCATAGTATACTATAGTACACCATACTATGCTATAGTATATTACAGTATATTATAGTATTCTACAGTAGAAATGTACTTCTAGGATCCGGAGTGGTACCCTTATTACCCTTATTCCTAGGATCCTTCATAAACCCAGAAGCCCAGTTGCACTTCGGAGGTGAAAGATTGTTCTTTTAATTTTCCTGTGCTTCTTCATTGGGGTGTACGGTACATTATTAGACATTCGTCTGGTATCAACTGTGGTCAAAGTTTGTTAGAAGTCCTGGCAGCAGCAGCAGCAGCAGCAACAATAACACCAAGCACAGACACAGTCCAGTTTAAGAAGCAGTTGTCATCGGGTATGGACAACCTTGATCTTGAACACGTGCGCCGAGCCTTGAAGGCAACTTGACTTGAAAATGCGTGCCGGCAGTTTCCTGAATCCCAAAGTTTCCGCAGCGAGAGTCTCACAGAGATTAGCTGAGACTCAACGCTGGTTTTTATCCAAAAATTGAATGCAAACCCGGGCCGTGTAGTAAGGTTTATTGAAACCCCTAAAAACATCAAGCTTGCAGTTCATTTCCAACTCAAGCCTGAAAACTTATTGAAACTCTTCTTGAAATACAATGACGACAGTAAGTTCAAATGCGTTCTAAAGAGTTTCGTGAACATTTGTAAGAATGGCAGGTAGTTCTCAACTGGTTTCTTCTCAACATGTTCGGATTTTGGGCAGGTGACTCCAGCCTGCTGCAACATTTATGGCCATTTCCAGATCATCCGATGTAGTGGTGTCATCCGTAAGCGAGGATATTGTGCACTGTGTGTTTGAACCCCCCCCCACCCACCCCACCCCATTAGCAGATGTGGCCCCGGGCGCCAGGTGACTCTTTCTCACTTTGAGTCATGGCGTCTGCAAGCGCTGTCGGAGCCTTATTAGCTCCGTGAGCGCTCTGGGCACTGGTTGCAGTCGTCGCGAAAGCCTCTTTTGCAGGACGTCGGCTCGCTTGTGTTCCGTTGCTGCGCCACGTCCAGCCCGGACGAGCTGGCTTGCGCAGGTGGGAGTATTTCATTGTTCTTTTTGGTCTGCGCTCTGAGGCCGTCTAGGAGCCTTGAACGTTTCTGCAGGTTGCAGCGACATTGTTGCTTGTTGCCGCTGCTCGGGGACTTGTGCTGTCGTCCGGCACGTCTCTCACTGCCGATATTTGCAGGCGCAGTTGCCATGCTTCAGACTTGCAGCAGTGTCATGCCTTGTGCTGTCTTGCTGGTCGGAGGCATCTCCACTTTGTTCGACTTCTCTCTCCATTACGTTGGTCCTCGGTCGCCTCGCAGAGATGGACGAGGCACCTGTTTTTTTTTCGTGCTTGGCTTGTGCAACATTGCCTGTTGCGTAGGGTTACGTCCACGTGCTACGCCGCTGCAGATCTGCTTTCGACTGCTCTACGCCAGCGCAGGTCGACCTGTGCCTTTGCAGTCTTGCCACTCCTCGCAGTTCCTGCCTGGTGGAGACCTTTCTGTGTATTGTTGCAGTGCAGGTGGAGAAAATTCTTCGTGACGCTCGCTGCCACGAGGGGGATTGGCAGACCGGCTTGCCCACGGCGGCCCGCGCGCGCTTCCGGCACTACGGACCAGTCCTGCAGGAGGTGTGCCAGCCGCGTGCAACGTATGTGTCTTGTCGTTCTTCAATAAGCTTTCTCTGCCCTGCGTGTTAGTCTGCTTCTCTACTAGATCCTTGGGTTATCGAGGCTGTAGGTGCTGCGAGGCTGTAACTAGCTGCTGTCATGGTCTACCATGCTTTCCCAGACTGCCGTGCAAGCATGATTACATGTTTCAGGAACGCAGCTTCCTGCACGCAGTCTCCAAGAGAGACGTCCCGCCGGATCTTTTGGCGCTTTCCTCCAAGGTCCATGCTGTGTGTGTGCGCGTGCCTGCAGTCCTTGCTGCTTGGATGTTTGAGTTAGCGGCGCCCTGGAGGACTCCGGGCATGACCTGTGGGAGACGACAAGGCGGCTCTTGAGACAAGAGCCCATGTGTGGATTGTTGCGCAGCTGCATGGGATTTCTGCCTGCGTTAACAGGTCAGCACCTTGACGATGTTGATTAGTCTTTGGGCTGCATTGGATTGCTTCTTCTAAGGATCTGCAGACGCAGATCCAGCGAGAGGCGAAGGAGAGCATCTTATGATGCTCTCACTCAGTCAGTTGTGTGTTTCGCCTTGACCTGGAGGACACATCTACGTCTATCTGAGCTTGCAGCGGTGTTGCTGCGGACCAAAAAGGCATTGTCTCAGTGCATGCGCGTGCAGTAGCTTGCAATTTGCACCTGAGGCTATCCTCTGACCCATGCTTGGAGTGCTGCTTTCGCCAAGGTGCAGCCGTGATTGCCATGCGCAGTGTTATGTGCGCCACTCAGCTTTCCGATTGAACTTCTGTCTTTCATCAGGCCAACCCGTCGGTTGATCCACCACCCTCGTAGACCTCTTCAAGCAAGAGAAGAGGTCAGTTTATTTCTAGACTTCATGACCGTAAGCGTTAAGAAATTGTGCCGAAATTTTAGCGCAAGAAGGGGTTGATTTGTTTTTAGTTTTTGCCCCCGTAGACCATTTCAGCAAGAAAAGAGGTTGCTGTGCTGTGCTGCGCTGCTGCTGCTTCTGCTGCTGCTGCTGTTGCTTGTGCTACTGCTGCTGCACGTAGTGCTGCAGGGAGTCTGGGCTGCAAGTAGGTGCTGCTGTTTGCTGCTGCTAGCGCCTTGTCTATTTGTGTCGATGCTCAGGAGTTTGAGTGCGGATCCTCTGCGTGCGGTGCTGCAGCGGCCGGAGCCTCTAGAGATCGCTCATTGGCTAGCTTCTGAGCGCATGCTGACGTGCCGAACTTTTCGCGCTGTTCTGCACACTCTGTAGCTTGGGCTTGGGCGTTCGCTTGCTTCGCTGGAGGCTAGATTGTCCTCATGGGGCTCTCCTGTTTGCCATGTGATATCTTCGATTACGTGCTGCGTCCACTGCTACCTGCTGGAGCTCTGGCGTGTTTGCTCGTCGCTGGAGCTCTTCCTGGCGGTGCGCAGGCGGCTCTCCGTCGGCTTACCGAAGAGCGCGCAGTGCGCCTAACTTTTCTGGCTTCCATGCGTGTAGTGCTGCTGCGAGGGCTGAGACTCCCTTGTGTTGATGGAGAGCTCGATCTCGTGCTGCGGTGGGACCCGCACCATGTTTGGTCTGCAGCGGCGGTCTTGGCCTTCGAGCATGCGCATCCCTGTCGTTGCGACGTTCTGGCTGCTGTGGCACAGGACTTGGAGATGCAGGTAGCCGACATCTTTCGTTTGTGGAACGAGACTCGCTTGCCGGAGGAGGTTCGCGCCGTGGACGTCCTGGCGGACTGCACACGGGAGGCTGTCCTACTAAACTGCGCCAATGTTGGTCTTGCCGACCCAGATCAGGGCGGCTGCAAGCTGAATGCGCAGCTGCCAGCCGGTGCTTGCTTTGCAGCCGTCCTTCGTTCTGCTTCGCTGGGGGCTGTGGTTGTTGGCTACTTGCGAACGTAATCTGATTTGTAGGGGCCAGGCCAGCTCTAGTCGTATTTTATCTTCGATGTGCGATAGTCCGGGGTGAAGGACAGTTTTTTGATTTGTTCATTAAGTCAGCTGTGTGCAGAGCGTTGACCTGGCCAAGACATCCGAGCCTGACTGAGCTGGCCTTCTGGCGAGCATGAGTTGGCGCCCAGGGGCGCCTTCCACTGAGGGGTGTGTGATCTGTGGATGCGTGACGTCCAAGACCCAAGCCCCAACCACACCCAACAGGGCAAAATTAGCAGACGCCGGGGCACAAATGTCTGGGCCGTATTATAAACAGTATTATGTAGGCTTCTCCGAAAGGACCATACATATGGTGTATATATAATATACAAAACCTTATATGTAGTATATACACATATAGATAGAATAATATACATATATGTATATGTATATATATATACCCTGCAGTACCCAGACATTAACACTACACAAACCACTCACGAACAATGCGCGATCCCAAACCTTGGAACCTCAATATCTCCTTCAGCAATAATCCTGCCACTCCAGACCCTGAAAGCCCTAAAACTTCAGTGGTCCAGCCTGTGCTGTCCCCTGGCAACCTACAGAGAGGAGGACTAAGGATTAAGAGTAGATGAACAGGTTCTGAGGTAGGAACTTAGGTGTAAGGCCCTATGTAGTATTTCTATTAAGCAGGCTTTGGGGTGCAAGGTTTCGGGTAGAACTATTTATGTAGCAGACGATGTATTGCGTAGGCATCGCATTCATCGCGTACTAAAATCCCTTACTGTTTAAAAACAATGGTACAACCACCATGGGCGTTTAGACCTTTGGGACCCAAAATGTGACCCTAATTTTGGCAACCACCAGATGCCACCCCTTTAATAGCCTTGGGGCTCTAGACACTGAGCCTCCGAGCTGCTACGTCCCAACACCCTTAGAACCCTGTGCAACTCTCCACAAATCTTTAAAGACCCGCCATACATACGCTAAACTCCCCTTTTCAAACATGCACCCTAAAACCCACCGCGCCCGGCATTTAGGGTCCCCTAGAAAAAACGAGGACGATCTGTTCCCCATACCTGCACCTGGAAAAACCTTAAACCTCAAACCTTCAACCATAGACCCCTGACTCCTTAGACCTTTTCTGTATACCCTATTGCCCAACAGAAAGGACCCAAACCTGGTGGTGATTAAGGGAGAGGCGCAAAAATCCCTGTAGCAGCCTAGTAGTCCTTCCGTATTCCCTCCAAAGGAGGCCAGTCCCTGGCCCAGCGGGCTGCTGCATCGACGTTCCCAGCCCCCGGCGCGCCTCCGGCCGTACACCACATCAGCCGCTGGAACGGAAGAAGCGAGGGGGGAGGGGTTCAGACGGGTTTGTTTATTGTCTTTAAGTTTTAGGGTTTAGGGGTTTAGCTTTCAGGCAGAGCTCTGGGGTGACTGCTGTTTGCGTTTTTGTTTTGCAAGGGTCTGGCAGGGTCTCGAAGGTAGTGCTTACGGTTTTAAAGCTATTGTTTGCTTCTGGGTGTCTGCAGATTCGTAGTTGTTTTGGAAAGATTTCCTGGGATTGGGGGCTTTGAAAGAGGTTTCTCAAGCAGGACTCGTGGAGGGCTTTGGAGTATCAGGGTTGTTGAGAGGTTTTGGGGTGTTTCGGTTTGTTTCTTGTGGGATTTAGGGGCTCAGGAGTTTGGGGGGGTAGGGCATTTTCAGTTTTAGGGGTGTACAGTTTAGGGATTTGGAGGTTCAAATGTTTACGGGTTTCGGGTTGGATGCGCTTCTGTTGCCTGCAGCAGTCTATTCACATTACACTACTTTACTGCTCTCGTATATGTGATGGCATTTCAGCATCTTGCGCGAGACTAGTATATTACATACATGCTCCATGTGGGGATTTCCTTAAACTCATTATCATCCGGGTCCCTATATTGGGGTTCCCAGCATAAGACGCCCTACATAAGTCTCCATCTTTTTTGGAACAGTAACTTAGGCCAAGTCCCAAACGTCTAGGATTAATGGCGTCTTCACTCCGCGGACAGGTGGTGGACACTGCTAGACGGCGGAGCCCCCAAATCCCCAAGCCCCCTCAAGCCGTCCTGAACCATGAGGGTTTCTTGTAGGGGTTTATATGGATGACAAGAGAGCTGTTTGGGATAAGTATTCATAAGGTCATCTTCTCGCCCCAAGCCCATAACCCTAAACCCCAAACAGTCCAGTGTGCATGTAATACTATAGCAGACTATAGCATACTGCTATAGTACATTGTTGCATACTTTTTCCTACTTTCGTATAGTATAGTACCTTATAGTACATTATAGTATGTGAGGCAGAAACCTCCAAATCAAGACACATTCGCAGCATCCGAAGCAGAGAGCCTGGCAGCAGGGCCGGGAGCTCAGGGAGCATCCAGCTGATGCATTAGGCTACGGGTGCCTAAGTGAGAGGGTATAGGATACTACTGTACCTATAGTATCAGTATACTATATAGCATGGGGTATTATAGAGCATTATACACCTGTACCATCCGAGTGTTGTGCTGTGGGGCTTTGCGCTGGTAACTGTAAAAACAAACGCTGAGTCCCGAAACCCTGGAACTTCAAACAAGTCGCACAAAACCTTTCAAGTGAGAATTTGTGAGGCTTGTAAGAGCCTTGTACGGTGCATCACTGTTGGTAAGTAATTCTTGCGTTTTCAGGGACCTCTCTCGCCCGCCAAGTCTTCGAACCTTAAGGTCAAGCCCGGAGAAGATAATCGACCCCGAACCTTGATCCCCAAACCCCTAGGCTCCCAGAAAGCCTAGAAACACCTAAAACCCGCATTGGAAAACCAAAGAACGCCAGATTTGAGCCTTATTCCCCAAAGGGATCCAAATCTGAAGTTCTTTGATTTGAAAAACCATGAAAAACCGAAGAGCGTCAGATTTGGGTCCCCATTCCGCAAGAGGGTCCCAAATCAAACGATCATTGGTCTGGAAAACCAAAGAATGCCAAGAATGTCAGATTTGGGTCCCTATCCAAAGAATGTCAGATCTGCGTCCCCATTCCCAGAAGGGACCCGCATTTGACGTTCTTTGGTTTGAAAAACGTGTTCCCCAAGAACGATCTAAATCTGACGCTCTTTGGCAAACGAGAGAACGTCAGATTTGGGTCCCTCTTTCCTAAAATAGACCCACATTTGAAAACCAAAGACCGTCAGATTGGGAACACAAGGCTGAGCCTTGAGCAGCCCCAACTTCGCCCACCTTAGGGCAACCTCCAGACACACGTCCAACACGGTTCTGCTAGCTCAGTGAGAGGCGAGGGCTTCCCAGAAGGCAGGTATCGGGTTCAATCCTGAGAGCCTGCTTCTTCCTGAGCCCTGCCCAGCCCATATGGCTTTTCACAGCAAGGCAGCATCACCACTCCAACCCTAGGGCCACCGCCTCTCTCGCTGAAATAACCCCTCCAACCCAAACTAGAATCCTACCTCAGTGAGATATGACTCTCCAAACCCCTCGTAAAATCTTCCCCCCTCAATGCGATGGGCCTGATCAGGCCCACCTGTATGAGCTGGATCCAAGCCTGGCCATGAAGTTATTAACGCCTCCCAAGCCTATTCCAGGCCCTTTGGAATAACTAGTACTAGTTATCATTATAATAAGAACTCTCACTACACTGCTAGTCCTCTTTAGTCGCTCAAACTGCTTTGAATGCTTTGGTGCAGTTGTTGCTAGTCAGCTTCCAAAAACTTCTACATGCTTCAACTGCATCCAAAAGCATCCACAAGCCTCCAAAAGCTCGCAGAAGCTTGGCCCTATTCCCCAAAAGCGACCAAAATCTGACGTTCTTTGGTTCGGAAAACGAAAGAACGTCAGATTTGGGCACCTGTTTATTCCTATGCTGGGAAAACCAAGCAACGCCAGATTTGGCTCCCTATTCCTTCCTTTGTTGCCTACGAATGTCAGATTTGGGTCCCTATTCCCCAAGAAGGATTCAAATCGGACACCGCTTGATTTGGAAAACCAAAGACATCTATTGCCCAAAAGGGATGCAAATCTGACGTTGTTTGAATTGACAAACCAAGGAACGCAGATTTGGGTCTGTTCCCGAAAAAGGATCCAATTTGGTTTGGAAAACAAAAAGAGTGCAAGATTTGGGCCCCCCAGACACCGCTGCAAGTTTCCGGGGGAGCAGGGGATAAGCCAAGGAAAGCGTCCAGGGCCCCCAAACCTCATCCTAACTTTCTCTCTTGAAAATAGAAGGGGGAGGGAGTGGGACAACAGGTTGCAACCGATCGTTTTATTTGTCATCGTCCAGTAAGCCCAAAAAAAGCGTGGGGAAGGGAAGCCCCTGGAGGCCTATACTGTTCAGTGTACTAAAGTATACTATAGTATACGGTTGAGCATTATGGTATACCGTGGGGTATAATACATTACAGTAGCATTATACAATACGAAGTAGTACAGTAGAATGAAGTACAAAATTAGTGTGTTCTATATAGTATGCAGTATACTGTAGTTTCACTGCCATGCTCAGCGCTCAGCGGTTCGCCAAGTAGACGTTGCGGCTGCTGTAAAATGTTGGCTTTGGTGAAGTGGTCGGGCCTGCAAAGTTATACTATAGTATACCATTGCATACTATGGAAGTCAAGAGTGGTCTAACAAATCTTTATTACACTGATTAGACGTGTGCTTGGCGTCCCAAGACAGCATGTACGGCGTGCACATCTAACGTTGCTTGTGGTGGTTCGGCAAGTCCTGGGGCGTGGCTTATTTCTTTTGGCTCGTTAGCGACGGCTCGGGCGCGCCCTTTGTGGTGAAAAAAAGGTAATTGGGATTTTGGTGTGCTTCAGGGCATTTAGATGTATTTTCCCTTGCAAGGCTATTGGATTTCTCTTCAACGAGTCAAGTTACGTAAATGTCCTAAGTGCTAAGCTTCACTAGACGCCTCGACCATCACAGCCGACTTCCCCAAAACAGCTCTCGAACCTGTGCCGTCTTAACTTTTCGAACCCAAATAACCCATGATGTATGGGCTTGAGCACTGGCACAAGGGTTCCAGTACAGGTCACACCGCACAAAGCCCAAGGGTGCAGGCATGACATAGAAGCCCCCATGGCTTTAGTTGTTGTTTTGATTTCCGAGCAGAGGGTGCACCATCTGAACCGCCGCTTTTCCGTCTAATTAGTGCTTTGAAACCTTAAACTTTTAAAGTCCCTGAGCCTCCCCACGCTGGCAGGCGGGACCTCGGCCCTTCAGACCTCCTCCAAGTCAGGGGCGCGGTATCGGTTTCCAGGCCAACAGCGGACCGGGCTGGCTGAGGGGTTCAACCATTCTCTAATTTTGGATGTTTACCATAAGGCAATGGTTGTTTAGGAGCATTTCTTTCAACACGGAAATTTGGGCTCCCAGGCCTACGTCAAGCAGGGGCCATATGTTTAAGGCCGTCATTCCGTGGAGGTCTGAAATTGCTCTGAATGGAAGAAAGGATTATTCTAGGGATCCATTCCTCCGCTCCCAACTAAGAACTAGCACGTTTCCGTGAGTTTCGGGCTTAACAGTGCAGGTTTAGGGTTTAGGGTGTGGGTCTTGGGGAGCTCTTGCTGCGGACTATTACAGGTCCTGTGATAAGTTTAAAGGAGTTAAAGGGGACTGCGGCTTTCAGGCCGGACAGATTCTTGGGTTTGAAAGGGAGGTCAACCGCTAAGTCTTGGGGTTGGGTTTAGATGGTTCAGGGTTTAGGGTTGCCCTTCAGCCAGTAGCAGCTTAGGTTCTACGGGTGAGTGCTCCCAACAATCAATGCTAGGCCGAGTAGTCGACTAGCCTGGGGTCTCTGCGTGGTTTTGTTTTAGTTTCACGACCTACAGAGGTTGGTGTTGACACTGTGTGTAGTGTATCAAGAGTCCAGGGAGAAGATATTGTGGAGGTTGCGTGCGGGCCGTAGCCTCACTTAAGATGGAAGTTCCCCATGCCGCGCCTTCGGCAGACTTCACAACAACGCTCGTGTTATAGGAATAGCGTGACGCGGCCTCAGCATGGGCCAGTTCACACGGATCCATGGTGGTTTGGGCTGGTTTCAGGCTTCTGTTAAGTTCTTCCCCACGCGTAGCCCTGAACCCTAGACCATCCTGGAAAGCTGCTGCGACAGGCTGATGCACAGCAGCAGGCACGAGACGCTTGAACCGAAGTTAAGGGGAAAACTATAGTTGATTTGTGCCTGGAAGTATGGCATGTTCCATACCAGTGCAATATGGTAGATACAGGAAGGCACATACGACAAAATGGAGACTTGCTTCAACCGCTCAGCATTCTGGGTTTTGAGATTGTAGGGTTTGGGGTCGCAGGGCCCAGGGAGTACTTGGACGCATTTGGAGCTCCAGGGTACTCATGACCTAAGTATAAGTGTACTAATAACTACACATAAGGTTCCCAAGTATACATGTACTTCTAACTTACCAAAGAGGTACCTAGAACAGCTCCCTGGATCATTGTACTTAGGTTCCCTGAACCTCCAAATAGTCATGGCGGCACTCTTTGGACGGGTTTGTTTTTGGTCTTTGCTGGTGCCTTCTGCCAGGGCAGCTCCGTCACAAAGCTCATCACGCAGTTCCAGGCTGCGGCTACTTCACCTACTGCCCATTGGAAGTAGTTACTGGAGAAATAGCAAGAGCAACTCTTCTTGTTCTTCTTGTACTTCTGGCACTACATCTCGTGCACTCGGGCACTTCTACTCGCACTGCTAACTCGCTTCCTCAGGCTGGCACTTCTGGAAGGAACGTGCGGTTCTCCCGATCACTGTCACTGTCGGTATTAGTATTTTTTACCAATAGTGGTGGTAGTAGTAGTAGTAGTAGCAGCAGCAGCAGTACTACTACTACTACTACTACTACTACTACCATTGTTACTACCATTAGTACTACCACCACACACCACTACCACACGCCACCACCGACGCCGCTGCCACCACCGCTACTACCGCTATACCTCTGCGACTATGGTCATCACAGTAGTAATTATTTTGGCTTTTACGTTGCTGTTCAAGTTTGTTTGAGTTTCCGGCAGGGCCGGGAGATGGATACCAGCTCTTGCCTCGCCTTTGCTCCCAAAGACAAGCACGGGACCGGCAACCAGGCTACCAAGGAGGAGAGCCCGCTCTCCCTCAAAACCTTCGTAAGCTTCGTAAGCCAGCCAGAGTATCCGGGCCTGTTCTAATTCTATACACCCCTTTTGGGGGTAGAAGGAAATTTACCAGAGGCCCGGACATGGACCGGAATTTAGAAACTTCCATAGGCCTAATGAGTTTTCTCTTCTGCTTCCGGTTGCGGTTGCCCGTCGAAAGTACATAAGGGCTGTTCTACATTATGGTCCCTTTCTGAGTACCCCTTCTAAGAAGCTGTGCTCTGGAACAGAGATCCCAAAAGAGACACCTAATTCAGGCAAGCTCCCTTGTGAGGACTGGCAGGTGAGCAATAATGGGGTGGCTTGGCTGCATCGGGCCCGCTGGGCAGCCCGCCGGGCATTGTTTTGTGCAAGTGCTCTGGGTTTATGCTTTTGGGGTCGGGGCTTAAAGATGGTTGGATTTTTAATTGTTGGGGCTTTGGGTTTTGGGGGTTCAGGGTTGGGGTTTATTAAGGCTGGTTGCTGGCAGCTCTTGTTGACAGGACTTCATCCAGCTCGAGCCCTGGGCAGTGCCATGTAACAGCTCCTGGATGTCTGACAACTGGGACAAGTGGCAAGGCTATTCCTTCTACTCCTTGGAGGCTGGGATCCTTTTAAGGTTCCTAATATAGGGGCTATATAACAGAAATCATCGCCCCGAGAGGCACCCTTTGAAAAGTGCGTGACCATGACCTACTCCCTGGCCATGCAACCGGTGCTCGCCTTCGTAGGGGGCTTGGAGTTTGATCTCCTTCCTGGCCCCTTGGTCTCGCTCGAGACGGAGGTCTGCTGGCCGGAAAAGCAGCTGGGGGTGGACCTCAGTGTCCTAAGGACTGAGATCCGTTCTGGTGGGGCGCTGCTCTTGGGGCGCACCTTGCGCCTTGCCAAGCGCTTCGGCACAGGCACGGGCTTCAAGGACAACAATGTCGTGGACGCCCGGGCGACCTGGCGAGAGCCGAACAACACGCTCGAGCCCATGTCCAGGATCCCATCACTGCTGGAGAGCAAGTTCCTCTGGGAGTCCGAGGCTGAGCAGCTGTACCTGGCTTCCGCGGAATATGGCAAGGACTTTAAAACCCTTTCTAAAGCCCCCTAAACACCCCCTCAAGCCCTCTGAAATTCTCACCTCAAAAACAGCCCTGGAAGCCAGGAGGGCCTCAACCTCACCTCGAAACTCCGAGGCCAGGCCGCTGGCCGGCACATGGAGAGCAGTAAGGTCCGGGGCCCTAAAGGACGGTTTTGGGGGTTTAGGGCTTAGAGATGTTTATGGCTTGGGGGTAGTTTCCCTAAAAGGTAGTTTACCTGGGCCCTATATTACCTTGAGGAATCCCCACAACACCCTTTAGAGAACTGCCTTTTTTCAGATTCCCTCATCATCAGGGCGCTGCCTACCAGCTCTTCAGCTTCAAGCACCCAGGAATGGTGAACTTCCACGTCCAGGGCATCTTAGAGGTCCCCATCTCACCATAAGTGTTAGTTGTGATGTTTATTACTATCATGTAATCGCTGCTGCTGCTCCTCCTCCTCCTCCCCCTACTACTACTACTCCTGCTACTACTACTACTACTACTACCACCACTTCCATTTTTCTACTTGCTTGTCATATACTTGGCACGATTGTTCTCACGACGATTCTTGCAGGATGGCGTGCTTAAGCTGGGCGGCGCGGCCTTATCTTTTGAGAGCTGGCCCAACTAAGGGGCCGTTCTAAATCCTGGTCTTCTGCTTTGGCGTGTTTGTGTGAAGTAGTACATTCCAAAAGGGTTCGTTACTACCACAAATGCCTGAAACAGCCATGAACTGAGGCGTGCAGATCAACTTTGGCCCGGTGGAGTCGCCCGCGCGGACGATCAATCTGGTCAACATCTCGGAGCAGTTCGCCACCGTGCTGGCGGCCGTCCCTTCCCTCTCCAAGGATTTGTCCAAAGGGCTTAGGGGCTTGGGGTCCTTGGGTATTTAGCGGTTTGGTGTTTAGGGGTTCAAGGCTTCGTGATTAAGGGTTCACCTTCACTCAGTTTCCTTCAGACAATCCGGCTACAAGACAAGCCGGCAGCCATTGTATGCTTTGGTATGTACGCAGAATCTATTCTCAAAACATCTTGTACGATGATTACTAAACAGTACTGAACCAAGCTCAAAAAGATGCGAATGCGTGTTGATTACTGCTATACCATTACGGCCCATACATGCCCATACCATACCCTAGTTACAAGTATACTACACTTTTTGCATGAACCGTCTGCCCAAGACCCAAGAACTCACAAGTTTAGTACAGCAGGACAGCCAGCAGAAAGCCCTCGATGCACTCCGCGACTTCACGCACACCGACGTTGGTGCCATCATGCCCGAGGCAGTGGGCAGGGATTAGCCACTGCAGAAGGGCTTAGGCTTTAGGGTTTACACCCCAAACCACCAACCCTAAACCATAACTAAACCGCGAACCCCAAAGAGGCTTCACCAAGTTGCAAGTTATTAGAGTACCTTGACTTTGCGGAAACGATGAGCAGAATTTCGAGGGTTTGGAGCTAGGGGAAGGGTGGTGGATGTTAAGAGGACCCCCGAGGTACACATTCCTACGCCGTGGGATCCAAGACTAGAAGCAATACCCACTTTGGGCCTTTGGGCCTTCACGTTTAAGAAAAGAGTACCTACTTATGCTGTTCACAGAACCTGCCTGACACCCTCAACCTTAATCCCCAAAACACAAAACTCGAGGCCTCCCAAGAAAAGACGACAAAGGATGTTAGGGTCAATGCTACGGGCATGGACCCTGTGTTCTCCAAAGCGCAAGGGTTTTTAGGGTTTAGGCTTTGGGTTTTTGAGGTGGTTTCAGGGGTTCTAGCTTTTGGAAGTTTAGGGTTCAGGGTTCAAGCTGTTTTGTCTACCTTTTTTGTTGTTCCCGGGGTTGAGGGGTTAATGGTTTTGGCTTTAGTCTTAGGGGTGTTTAGGTACAACACATTATCTGAGGAAACACATAATCTGAGGCAAATTGAAAACAGAAAGGTCCAATATCGGCAGCCTAGATCCTTTTTTTCCTGAGTCTTATTACGGCTTGTACAGGGGTTATAGTGGTTATCACAGAAGGGGCTGTACAGAGTTTGCCTTTGGGGATACTAGTAATTTAGTCCAGGCTCATGTGGGGGTTGTCACAGTTTGGGGGGCCTGGGGTTTTGAGAGAAGCCCGCTAATGATGATTATAGTTTCTATCACATGGTGTGCTAGTCTACAGTATATTGCCAGCATCTTTTGAAGATTTATCACTTAGGGCGTGATTTAGTGCAGAGTACACGTTATATTATGCTAGAGATGAATGCTAGTCCTCCTCCTACTACTACTACCACTACTAGTAGTAGTAGGCGCCTGTGAACAGATGTGCAGTAAGAAC